TCGTCATGTTGTGTTCATGTCAATTGTCTCAACCATTGGGATGCTTAGATAAAGAAAATAAACAAAAACATACAAACAACATACAAAAAATAAACAAAAACATAAACAAAAACATACAAAAAATAAACAAAAACATACAACAAAAAACAAAAACATACAAACAACATACAAAAAATAAACAAAAAATAAACAAAAAACATACAAAAAATAAACCAAAAATCAACAAACAATATACAAAAAAAGGAAAAAATAAACAAAAAATAAAAACAACAAAAGCAGTCCTCTTTCGCTTCGCCCGAACTTGGCCAAGGATGTCCTCCACATCCGGGCCCAGAAGGCCGTCACCTGCGAAGCATGAATCCTTACCACCAGCGCTCCCGGCCATAGCTGAAGCTGCTTTGTCCTGGACATTCTGGAAGTCGAGCTCATGCTTTTCCAGGCCTTTGTCACCAGTCAACATTTGCATGCGAGCAGCAAGAACAGATTCTTTCGCATTCTTGCCCAGCTTCTCTTCCTTTGACAACTCCTTGTCCTTGCTGATGTCGTCGTACCAGGGCAGCTTGTCGGCTGTCTTGATCCACAGTCGCGTGTATCCACGCGGGCCTTTGCTATCTTTCGGATGCTTCGGATCTGCCAGCCAAGCCTTCCACTTAGTTTCCGCTTCCTCCCGGGTCAAATAGCCATGCTTGGCTCTGCGAGCCTCTTCATACCATTCTTGTTCCCACATCATCTCTCCTTCCTGTGCTCCTCGAACACCACTTGAGGAACGGTAAGTCAATCGGAAGCTTTGGATGCTGAAGCGTATCTTTTCGGCGTTCTTTTTGGCCTTGTCGCGGGCCTTCACAAAGGCCTTGAAAAGGGCTTTGTGCTCTTGTGGAGCATCCCGCTCCATGGTTTCAACATCATCTTTCAGGCCCTGCCGTTCCGCTGTTCGTCTGAGTGATCTGACATCGTTAAAGCAGGATTTACATCTTGCTTGTGAGTCGTTGAATTCCCCCTCCTCCTTGTATGTGTTGCACATGTTGCACTTCTTCCACGAGTTCACACCCTTCCCATCGCCGCCACCGCTCTTGCGCCTGGAGGGTTTGGCCTTTGCTTTCCGTTTCGGAGTTCTTTGCTTTGCACCCCTACGCTTCTTCCCACGCCCACGACTAGCACTACTGGCCTCTTCCGAAGCCGCCTTGGCCTCTTCAGAAGGCCCCTCCTCCGCTTCCTGCATGAACTGGGCAAAATCATCAGCTGCATCAGCAGCCAGCGACAATGATGACATTGTCACGACTTTACGAAACCCTCGGGCTCCCCGTCGCGAGTTGGAAAACTATGTCCGACTTCACCAAGGCTACTGAGCAGCTACTGCACTCACTCGCACTTCATCAACTCAAGATGCAAAGAGTGCTGAGT